GGTATTTAAAAAGTCTCAGGGATCAGATGTCTTGTTAGTCAAGAAATGACTGTCCCTCCAGACCAAGGCTTCTGCTACTCAGCTCAACTCACAGGACCTGTCATTGAGCTTCTGACATGCCCTATAGATTCCCATCATGTACAGTGACTTTCCTATGGAAGGGTAAGAGATTCCTCCACCTAGTGTGTACCTAAGGTCCTTTCGCTGGTGAGCATCTTCTACCCAGAGAACCACCTCCATTTTGAAAGATTATGGGAGATCTCAATATTTTGAATGAAGAACTCTCATATATTTCTATTTTTCTTCCTCTTTCCCAATAGAGTTTGGAGGGAGGGCAGGTTGCATTTGGGCTACTAGTAAATGATCCAGATTTGGGGAGTTCATTTGAAAGACCAATCAAAGAGGAGCTATGAATGACAAGAGATAATGAGATGTTACAGGTTTGCTGATCTCAATTATTGACTCTGTCTCAAGGCAGTATAAACCTATACAGAAAAAAATGGTCATTGGTTGTTTAAAGTTATTTCAAGGCTGGGTGTGATAGCTCACACCTGTAATCCCAACACTTTGGGAGGCTGAGCAGGGAGGATTGCTTGAAGCCAGGAGTTCAAGAACAGGTAACATAGCGAGACCCTATCTCTACAAAATATTAACCAGGCATGGTGGTGCTTGCCTGTAGTCCCAGCAACTTGGGAGGCTAAGGGAGGAGGACCGCTTCAACACAGGAGTTTGAGGCTGCAGTGTGCTGTGATTACACCACTGTAGTCCATCCTGGGCCACAGAGTTAGGCCCTGTCTCTAAAAAAGGTATTTCATTCCACAATAATTTATTGACTACTAGATATGGGGAACAGGTGACTCTGGGGATATAGAGATGAATAAACCACAGTTGTATTTCTTTAAAAATTTACAGTCCAGGCGGGGCACAGTAGCTCATGCCTGTAATCCCATCACTTTGAGAGGCCAAGGTGGGTGGATCACTTGAGGTCAGGAGTTCAAGGCTAGCTTGGCCAGCATGGTGAAACCTTGTGTCTACTAAAAATACAAAAATTTGCTGGACATGGTGGCGCATGCCTGAAATCCCAGCTACTTGGGAGGCTGAGGCATGAGAATTACTTGCATCCTGGAGGCAGAGGTTGCAGGAAGCCGAGATTGTGCCACTGAATTCCAACCTGGGTGACAGAGCGAGACTCTCTCAAAAATAAATTAAAAAAATAAAAATTTACAGTCTAGTAGGGGAAACACATACAGAAGCAAATAACGAATTCTCTCTTTAAACACACCTTCTCTAAGCAGTAGTTGCTATCAGGGCCCAGATGAAATGAGAGATGAATCTTGCTTGAGATTAGCTATGCACTTAAAATAAACCACAACAAGTGTGTGCATCAAGATGGTTGTTGGAGTTTGAGTTAAAGTTCTTAAGTTGGATGATAGAAAGGACTTTTCAGAGAGAGGCCAACATCAGAGGCAAAGGCACAGATTTCTGATATTTGTTAGGACGCTTATTCACTATCTCTTAAAAAGGCTTGTAATTTTTAACTCTTTATTTTAAAGAAAATGAACATTTTAAAAATTGAGGAGTTATGTGCAATTTTTAATCTGATAGTGGTCTTAGGAAATCCCAAGGAGGACTGTTCTTGAAAATGTTAATAGAAATGTTATGGCCATGATGATACAAAACAATGAATTAGTGGAATAATTTAAAATATAAATACTGCTCAAGTCATTTTGACTTTTGAGGCATTACAACTTAGAAATTGTAACTTAAGGATTAGTGCTTTTTGTTTTTGTTTTTTTTTTTAAATTGAAAAAGCAATCGTATTACCTATAAGGGATACACAGGAAAATAATGAATGAGAAAAATAAGTGATACATCACTGAGGTCTAAAGATTGATTACATAAGCACCTCAGGTATCTACGTTCCATGGGGAGTAAAATGTACTTGTGTTAGGCTTCAGTAAACAGAACATGAGATAAAGTCAGAAGTAAGAAAGCAAATGTCTTGATATCACTGCCACGCCACGTTATTTTAAAACACCAGGCTACAGTTATATAGTGGTGAAAAGCTCTTAACTGTAATGTCATGTTCAACAGAAAGCATCTTAATAAGTTCCATCCATCATCACTCCAGTGAAATAATTATTACACTCATATATGGGTTCCTCAGATTCTTCCTTCACCAGGAGATATAACTGGCTGCTTGTTAGACTGTAAATTTCATGAGGGCCAGTGCCCTGGTTTTACTCTTGTTTCATCTGGAGTGTCTGACACACAGTAGCAGGTACTCAATGTTTCATTTGTTTCTCTGTAACTGGAACCCAACTTTGTCCTTCCTCTTCCTTTTCTAGTCCTTTGTCCTTCGGCGCTATTTGTACTGTGAATACTCAGCCAACATGTGGCAGTATGAAAGCCACTTACTTTTTTATCTAGAGATACGTGTACACGGAAAGACAGGTTTGTACATGCTGTCTATAAAAAGATACTGGCCCAAGTCATGGCCATTCAATTGGAAATTAGATGTAGTGCCAGAAATATGTATGCTGGGCCTGAGCATGGTGGCTCATGCCTGTAATCTCAGCACTTTAGGAGGCCTAGGCGGGCAGAGCGCTTGAGGTGAGGAGTTTGAGACTACACTGGTCAACATGGTGAAATTCCATCTCTACTAAAAATACAAAAAATTACCCAGGCATGATGGTGCATGCCTGTAATCCCAGCTACTCAGGAAGCTGAGGCAGAAGAATTACTTAAACCTGGGAGTTGGAGGCTGCAGTGAGCCGAGATCGTGTCACCGCACTCCAGCATGGGTGACACAGTGATAATCTGTCTAAAAAAACAACAAAAAAAAAAAAAGAAAAGAAAAATATGTATGTGTGAAAAGATGGAGCTGGGCACAGTGGCTCACACCTATAATCCCAGCACTTTGGGAGGCCAAGGTGGGTGGATCACCTGAGGTCAGGAGTTCAGGACCAGCCTGGCCAATGTGGTAAAACCCCGTCTCTACTAAAAATACAAAAATTAGCTGGGCGTAGTGGCAGGCGCCTATAGTCCCAGCTACTTGGAAGGCTGAGGCAGGAGAATCGCTTGAACCTGGGAGGCGGAGGTTGCAGTGAGCCGAGATGGCACCACTGTACTCCAGCCTGGGCAACAAGAGAGAAACTCTGTCTTAAAAAAAAAAAAAAAAAAAAAGATGGATAAACTTACAGGTGTACATATTGTAAATTTTCATTTTCTATGTAGAATTTTACCTATACATGTGAATGTGTGCAAATCTGCATGTACATTCCTATATATTCCTGATTTCTACACTGATTAAAAAGCGAAAGGGAAACAATCTGATAGCAGCCTAACCTAATACTAGAATGAATACTGAAGTAATAGAACATCAAATTAATTGAATGACTGGAAGAGATCTAAACACATTTTCCAAAAAGAAATTAGATTAGAATTAAGGTACATTGGTCAGTAATTTGCCTCCAAGATGAGAAGTAGAAGTGTCCTGCTTAGAAGTTCTGGCTACTGAGTTAAATCCAGTCTCTTATACTTGCATAGTTACTTGAATAGCTCTGTTTGGGTAGTTTGTGTCACTCTGAGCAGGTTAGCTAGTATTTCTTTGCTAAATTTCTCTTACTGAGAAAAATGGTTTTTAACTCAGTGCTTTGCAAGGATTAGATGAGATACTGCATGTGAAGCTGTCTGCACCATTTTTGGCACATAGGAGCAACTTGATAACCTGTGGCTGCTGCCGCCGTTACTGTTATTGGCTATTGTAATTTTGTCTCAGCCGCTGAACTCAGTCCAGTAGAGTCCTCGTGATTCCTGGTAGAAAAGATGCATGCTTATGGTAGACAAAATCCTCAGATGACCAATTGCCTTCCCCAAAAAGTTCTCAGTAGTGTTGTATGATTTCATGCAAACTCTGAAATGGCAATTAATCCAGGGAAAAGAAAAATGAAAAACAGAAGAATTAATCAGCACATGGCAAGAATTTGAAGAAAGGAAGCAATATCTTAACCTAGACAAAGTGCGCTAGCAACCAAACCACACAATAAACAGTCATGAAGCCAAATGTCTCACAGGGGAAAAATGAAGATTTGAAAGTAAAACAACCTTCCCATAATTCTGTAACCGATCCCCCGATTCCTCAGCAAAACCTGGCATGGTCCAAACCCCAGCCCTTTGGATCTAATTGCAGAGGCCTTTAGAAAAGAGCAGTTATGCTAAGTCATGCAGAACTTGCTCATAATCAAAGCACTGCAGGGGTCGGGGGTGGGGGGTAGGTAACAACAACAAAAAAACAAAACAAAAACTAAAGAAACACTACCAGAGGCTAATGCATCCCCTGGGGAGAGATGACCAGGAAAGCCGGGAATTTGTTACAAAGGAGAACTAAAATGGAAAGGTTAGTACAGAAAATAGCTCTCCATCTAGCTTGTACAGATCATGGGCAAATGAAAGTCCCTGGGCTAATTCATCAAAGACACTGAAAGAGCTCAAAGTCATCAGAGCATCTGAAGTGGGCACCTTTTATGTAGACAAAAGGAAAAAGGATGCTATCTGAAGAGAACAATTTGTATAGACTGACTTGTTTAGTTTCATAAGAAATGCTCTATAGTGATGGGTTTGGAATAAACAAAAATATAATGTATGTGTAATTGTATCTGTGTTATGATAAGATAATCATTCAGAATGATAAATTGTGTTAATATCTTACCTGTTACTTCTTGAATGAGTGATCCCAATTGTTTATTCAGAATGATAAATTGTGTTAGTATCTTAACTGTTTCTTCCTGGATGAGTGATCCCAATGGTTCTTTCAGTAGCGTTGTCTCTAAGTGGCAAGGCAGGCTTCATTGTAACTTTATACTGACTCCCTTGGCTGGTAGGTGAAATCTTATCATCTGAACATGTCACCTCTCCAGCTCACAAAGCGTATCATACTCAGCCTGTTGGTGAGCAATGCTACCTCTCTACAGATGTCACCCTTTCAGAATGTATGTGGTCAATGCAGAGTAGTTGAGTGTTTTTAGAGCACAGCAAAGGAATTTATCAAGGTATCAGGCATTTTCCTTTTCTCCCAACAGACCTGTTTTTCCTGTTACTGTGCAGGTGTTGGCAACTCCCTGTGCTTTCCCAGGTGGTGTCTGACAGGAACCATCTTAAACGTTCTTTTCACAGTGGTGTCGGCAAGGCCAGTGCGTAAAGTTTGGGGAGCTGGGGCCCCGGCCCATCCATGGCCAGTGGTCCGCCTGGTCGAAGTGGTCAGAATGTTCCCGGACGTGTGGTGGAGGAGTCAAGTACCAGGAGAGACACTGCAATAACCCCAAGTAAGGCTCCAGCAGAAAAGTAGTTTTTGCAAGGCATTAACCTTCAGCCTGTCACACACCGGTTTTTCTTGTTCATACTTTAATAAGTTTTTTGAATTTTTAATTATTTTGGGTACATCATAGTTATACATATTTATGGGGGTACATGTGATGTGTTGATGCAGGTGTACAATGTGGAACAATCACATCAGCATAATGAGATATCCATCACCTCTAGGCTTTATTGTTTCTTTATTTAAAAACATTCCAAAATCATTTCTTTATTAGGCACATTTCATGGTTTCAGTTATTTTAAGATATGCAATAAATTATTGTTAATGATAGTCACCCTATTTGTGTTACTGAATACTAGATCTTATTCATTCTAACTTTTTTTTTGTACCCATTAACCATCCCAACATTACCGTTCTCCCTCCCCACTGCCCTTCCCAGCTCTGTCAATCCACTCTCTAGCTCTAGCTCTGAATTCAATTTCTTTTTTTTTTTTTCTTTTTTTTTTTAGCTCTCACATGGGAGAAAATGCAATATTTGTCTTTCTCCATTTGGCTTATTTCACTTAATATAATGTCGTGCAGCTCCATTCATCTTCACTATGCTACCAACTTAAATTGTGTTGTAAATTAAATTAAATTAAATGTTTTCCAAGCTTCCATCACATTGATCACAGGATTTCATTGTTATAATGGCTGAATAGTAATAAATAGGATTCATAGTATGAAATAGGATTAATACTATCATAATAGGCTGAATACTATTAATTTGAATAATACTATTATACTATATTATATATAATTACTCTTCATATATAGCATATACAATACTATATCGTATATGTGAGACTATATATAATAGTATTAATATATAGTATCTATACTATCTAGTAGCATTAATAGGATGAATGGATAAAGAAAACATGGCACACTATTCAATTATGTATATGTGCCACATTTTCCTTATTTATTCATGCATTGAGGGACTCTTAGGTTACTTCCGTGTCTTGGCTATTGTGAATAATGCTGCAGTGAACATGGGAATACAGATATCTCTATACACTGATTTCCTTCCTTTCGGGTATTCCTTCCTTTTGGGATTGCTGGATCATATGGTAGTCCTACTTTTAGTTTTTTTGAGGAACCACCATACTAATTTACGTTCCCACCAACAGAACACTGTTTTATTTTTTTGGTATTTCTTTTTTTATGTTATTTTACTTTAAGTTGTGGGATGCATGTGCTGAACGTGCAGGTTTATTACGTAGGTACATATGTGCCATGGTGGTTTGCTGCACCTATCAACCCATCATTTAAGCTTTAAGCCCCACATTCATTAGGTATTTGTCCTAAAGCTCTCCCTCCCCTTGCCCCCCACCCCCCGACAGGCCCTAGTGTGAGAAAACACTGTTTTAAAGTGCCATTTTCTTCCCTCCAGTTAGTAACAATCAACCAGAGTTGTACTGTTCGCATGTAAAGTCCATGTGTACCGAGGGAAGGTGTGGTGGGCAGAAACCAAAACACAGCAAAGGAGTCATTGTCTGTGGGAATGTGATGATCCAGTAAGACTCTGAGCTACTCTATTCATCTAAACTAGGGTTCTACCATCATATAATTAAATACTTGTGATACTGTAGAACAGAAAAGTTTGGCCGGCAAACCTCGTGAGTCTCTCAAACGGGTGAATTGCAGAAAGTATGCTGATTTTTGCCTTGCAGGAATGTACATCAACACGTGTTGACAGATCTGCCTGACTTTTCAAGAGAAACCAGAAATACGGAAAAATGCTGCTTGTGAAATTTCCCAATTTTAAAAATATTAACAGCAAATTCAATTTTCTTTAAAGACAGAAAAACCCGCTGTGACAACTAGTCCGATCAGCTGTGGATTGAAAGTGGCCTGTGGTCACCTGTGGGCGCTCTTTGGTCTGGTCATACTGGAATCTGAACTGCAGTTTGTGCTCTGTGAACATGAAGGTGGTTTCATGTTACTTTTTTTTTCTTTTAGACGGAGTCTCGCTCTGTTGCCCAGGCTGGAGTACAGTGGCACGATCTCAGCTCACTGCAAGCTCCGCCTCCTGGGTTCATGCCATTCTCCTGCCTCAGCCTCCCAGGTAGCTGGGACTACAGGCGCCCGCCACCACGCCCGGCTAATTTTTTGTATTTTTAGTAGAGACAGGGTTTCACCTTGTTAGGCAGGATGGTCTCCATCACCTGACCTAGTGATCCACCTGCCTCGGCCTCCCAAAGTGCTGGGATTAGAGGCTTGAGCCACCGCGCCTGGCCGGTTTTATGTTACTTTTATATGCTCTAACTCCCACATGAAACACATGTGAGATGTAGATTTTCCAATTGGCAGGATGATGTAGAGAGAGCCCAGGTTTTGGCGATAGATAGAAAGACTCTAAACCGTGTGTCTGCCACTTCTTAACTCTGTGGCTTTGTAAAAGTCATTTGACCTGGGTTTATGTACAAAAAAATGTAGAAGATAACCTTGGAAGGTTGGATGAGGATTAGAAATTGCATCTGTAGGATGCCTGACAGACTGGGGAACATTCCTGGGCATTCAACAAAAGGTTCTGGGATCTGTGTGGTTTTTATCATCCTCATCCCAAGCTCACCGGGAGGACGGGGTCACAGAGGTCAACCTACCAAAGGGGCGTGGAGAGGCAGAGCCTTTACTGATGACACTGACCTTTGAAGAATGTGATGGGGTAAGAAGAATGTGATGGAACCTTGGAAAACATTTAATTTACAACACGATTTAAGTTGGTAGCATAGTGAAGAGGATGAGAACATAGACTCTGAAGTTTGACAGACCGTTTTTGCATCCTGACCCTAACACTTCTGATCTATGACCATAGACAACTTAGTCTTCCTGCTCCAGATTCCTCATTTATAAAAACGGGATAATGATAGCACCTACGTCAACTGAGTTAATGTTTGTAAAGTGCCTTAGAAAAGGGTTTGACATGTCATTAACATTGCATAACTATTTGGTAAATTGAGAAATAATGACACTAGAGCAAAAGGAAATTTTTAAAAAAATGAATAGTACTTCATTTGAATCAGCAGTCTGAGTTAGATAAAAAGTCAATTTTTTTCCCCAAAATATAAAGCAGAATTTGGAGACACTTGGACCATCACGTGTCAGGTGCTACTTGGAATATCGCAGGCTAAAATAGATCTTTTCAATTTCAGCACTATTGACATGGGCTGGAAAATTCTTTGTTGTGGAGGTTTGTCCTGGACATGGCAAGATGTTTAGCAGCATCCCTGCCCTTGACCTACTAATGCCAGTAGGGTCCACTCTTCTTCCCCCCACCCACCAAACTGTGACAACCAAAAATGTCTCCAGACATTGCCAAATGTCCTATGTGAGACAAAATCATCTCTGATGGAGACTCACAGATGTAATCAGACCCAGTGACTGAATATAATGATAAGGAGGCTGGTGATGCATTTGCAACTTATACCGGGTTATTGTTTTAGTAACAATATTAAAACAATTAATGATGTTGTTTCAGTATCTCCTGGTTTAAGCAGGAGGGTAGTTTCTACCCTCCTGATACTTTGAATGCAACCATGTCTTAAGTTGAATTGTTAAAATCATCATATTACTTTGCATTTTTGAAGCATAGTTCATGGATCTGGTTTTCATACATTACAACATTTTACAATCTCGATATTTTCCCAAGAAAGACATAGATTACCTAATTCAATAGCTCTGCTGGTAAAATGCATGAATGACACCCCTGAGATTTAAATTAAAACCTCTCATATCTGTAGGATTGAGAGCTCTCATTATAATAGGGCATTGTTCATGGAAACAACATATTGTAATTTAGAGATGCCTAATAGAAGAATTAATCACTAATGTATTTTCATTCAGTGCAGTTTTATCATTTTAAACAAGATTAAAAATAAATCAGGATACTGTTTACTTTATGCATGAAGCCAAAAATAAGTAGATGATAGGTGATCCCGAGACAATTGAATTAATTGTTCTCTCTCTGTTCTTATTTCACTCTGTTGCAGTAATGCTGGTTTTTTCTCCCTGTTTCAAGTTATGGATTTCTTTCTTGCTTCAGTTTAAGTATTTGGTTCTATTAATATCGCTCAGTGTAGCCATTTTCATTGTCTCATCCAAGAAGCAGTGTGAGGTTTCTGTTTCATATAAAGGTGTTTTTCCCAGAACAGATTTTATTTCATAAAAAATGAATGATTCTTGGCTGATTCATAGATTTACCAATTTTTTGTTGACGGCTATCTGGCTCTGGAATGGCCAATGCCAGGCACACAGGGACGTCCTTTGTCCCATGTAAGTGGTAAACAATGTTAACTGATGGAAGCCCTGTTTTTCGCTGAGCCCTCCTATGCCTCAGGGACCTTCCCAATATCCTTCTGTAGGCATTTGTTCCAAATCAGGTTAGAACTGACACATGAGTTGAAACCTGCTGCCTAATCCAGTTATTTCACAGATGAATAACCAAGGGAGGCAGAGGGCCCCATTCAGAGTAGCAACTCTTGCTCAAGTCCCCATGCTGGTAATGGCAGAGTCAGATTAAGATCCCGTAGTCTTAATCCTTTGACATTTTTCGTTTTTTTCTGGTTATTTTTTTATTAAATTATCACCCCATAAGGGAGCCCTAGTGAAATTTCTATAAACTCTCCAAGAAAATTATTAGTGATGTGGCAAGGTGTTCTAGAACTTTCCTAAAACATGAGTCTATTTGAGAACGAATTGTCTGCTAACTCTAACGCAACTTAGCACATGGAGTTAGGAGGAAAATCATGGCCCCAGAAGAATAATTGAATCTAACTGGTGGTGTATTTTCCAACCAGTAATTTTGAGGCTCAGCTGGTTATCAGAATCACCAGCTGTGTTTTTAAACATACTGATTTCTGGATCTTCCATATCAGGTACTGTTATTGAGAAAGTGGGTGGAGGTCCCCAGGAATCTGTATATGTATATAGTTTAACAGAGCTCTCTAAGTGATATTAATACTTATCCAAGCAACACCATTGTAAATATTTATAGTCAGGACTTGATAAATGATGCAGAAGCAAATGCTGGTATGTTCTTTATAGCTGTCTAATATAAGGACAAAATCATGTGCCTAGGTTTTTGTTTTCTATTTCTATGTTTCTTTGTAATATTAAGGAACTTCTTACACCAAGACATATCATGATAGAATTTTCTGTTAAGTTAGGCTAACACTCATGTTCAAAGGTGCAAACAAATATTGTCTATATTTTTATGGAAATGTCCAAATGCTTGCCAGCAATTACTTTTGATCACTTTGACCATATCCCATAATTAAAAATGAAATGTAATAGTATATAAAAATCAGATCACATAATACTCAGCACAGGGTGGGTACTCAATACAAAAGCATAAGGCATTTATAAACAGTTATAATTTATTCTAACTCTGCCCTAGGTACTGCCCTACATTCTTTACAAAGGTTAGGTCAGTTAATTGTCACCGTTGTTCCTACTTTGCAAATGAGGAGGTTAAATAAAATCGCCTAAAATTAAGCTGGGAGGAGGCAGAGAATACTGTGTTTAAATCAGGGCCTGGCCAGGTTTGATGGATCATACTTATAATTCCAGCACTTGGGGAGGCCAAGGCAGGAGGACTGCTTGAGGCCAGGATTTTGAGACCAGCCTGGGCAACACAGACCTTCGTCTCTATAAAAATTTCAAAAATTTGCCAGGCATGGTGGCACATGTCTGTAGTCCTAGCTACTCAGGAGGCTGAGGTAGGAGGATTGCTTGAGTTCCGGAATTTGAGGCTGCAGTGAGCCAAGATTGTGCCACTTCTCTCCAGCCTGGGTGATAGAGCAAGACTCTGTATCAAAAATTAAAAAGAAAAAAAAAAAAGAATCTGCCTCATTGTAAAAGGCCAGCTCCCTAAACATTGCACGTTATTCATCTTTCTTTTCATGCCTGGCCCCATGGCCTAAGAACTCAGTTAAACGCAGGCATAGTTAAGTAGGAAAAAAATCCTGGAATGAGTCCACAGGCCTGAGCTTGAGCTCATCTCTGTTTCTTTCTAGCTGTGTGACCCTCCTTCAACAAGTTTTGTGAGCTCTTGTCAGCTGGTTCCCACTTCATCTATAAAAGGAGGACAATGGCTGTATGAATTTGGTGGTCTTTTCCACGTTACAAGTTCTATAAGTCGATAAAGTAACACCTTGCAGTCCTCTTTCCCTTCATTAACTTCATAGGGTCCAAATGAGGTTTGTTAAATCTCAGAGAGTCTTAAACTGAGAAATTAGTTTTAAATACGCCTTGTAAAGATGACCAGGAATATTGAGGCTATGATATAGCACTTTAAGATTTTTCTAAGTGCTTTTTAGATAATCATTTAAGAAGTCTTCAGGGATCTGATTTATCACAATGGCTGCTGCATGTTTAAGTAGTTGCTCTAGAGTGTTTTGAAATAGCATAAAACTCTCATTCTGGCAGTGTGACATTTCCCGTTCCTGTTGAATCCATTTTAGCATGCAGCTATAGGAGGACTGGATAAATTATGCTGAAGCAATTCCAGGGCTGTTTTAGAGCATACTTGTGCTTCCTAAAAAGACAAGGAATTTTAATCACATAAATTTATTAACCTGGAGCCGCCTTTCATGTTACATGTTGGCATCAAATCTTTATACAAGATGATCCATAGTTGAGTTTTGGCCTTCAGAGAAAACTCCAAATGGGAGGAATGAAAAGAAACCACAGCTCTGTGCACAGAGTAAGCTGGATACAATGATGTGGGTAATTTTCAATGTGGTGGTGCTCTTTTTTCCTTTATTTTGCTATCTGGTTTTTGCAGATTAGACTCTGCCTACCAAGATCTTAAAGAGCTTGCCTTTACATCATAATTATTTATGTTCTAATGGAATTCCCTACTCTGGAAATCCATTTCCCATTGTGCTTGGCAGGAAAGGAGTAGGCCACCTGCAAAGCTGAGAAGTGATTATGCTGATGAAAACAATAGAATGTTTTCCCTCTGGGTTCAGAATCAATCAGAAGGAACACACAACAGTCATATTATAATCAAAATATCTCAGTGACTGACAGCTGAATTGGGGAGAGCAGCAAATGGTGCTTTCTGTTCCTTCTCCCCAATGTGCTGACATTCTATGCAATAGCAGGTGCATGGCAAAGTGTGGGAAGATAATGAGAGTGTTAGAAAATGGGAGAAAGCTGGAGAGGTAGCTTGGGTCCATGTTTGAACAGCTTTTGGTGCCAAAAGATAGGGTGTGTGCATGTAGCACGCAAGCACACATATACAGTAAAAAAACATTTAGGTGTGTTTACAGATTTCCCTAACAGAGGAGCTAATATGATGAGGGTCAAGAAAATCCCTTCAGTTAGAACAGCAGTCTCCAGTTTCATCCAGGTTGCTGTGAATGCCATTATTTCATTACTTTTTACGGCTTAGTAGTAGTCCATGATCTATATACACCATATTTTCTTTACTCGTTGATTGATGGGCATTTGGGCTGGTTCCATATTTTTGCAATTGCAAATTGTGTTGTTTCTCAGGAATAGAAAACCAAACATTGTATGTTCTCACTTATATGTGGGAGCTAAGCTATGAGGACACAAAGGCATAAGAATGATACATTGGACTTTGGGGACTAAAGGGGAAAGGGTAGGAGGTGGCAAGGGATAAAAGACTACACATTGGGTACAGGGTACACTGATCGAGTGAGGGGTGCACTAAAATCTCAGAAATGTTTACTAAAGAACTTATTTATGTAACCAAACAACCTATTGAAATAAAAAAATTAGAAATTAAAAAATTGTTCTACCATAAAGACACATGCACATATATGTTCATTGTAACACTATTCTTTATAGCAAAGTCATGGAGTCAATCTAAATACACATCAACAGTAGACTGGATAAAGAAAATGTGATACATATACACCATGGAATACTATGCAGCCATAAAAAAGAGTGAAATCATGTCTTTTGCTGTCAGACAGATAGAACTGGAGGTCATTCTCCTAAGCCAACTTAAGGCAGGAACAGAAACCTGAATGTCACATATTCTTCCTTATAAATGGGAGCTAAACACTGAGTACATATGGGCACAAAAAAGAGAACAACGGACATTGAGGGTGGAGGGTTGGAGGTGGGAGAGGATTGAAAAACTATGTGTCAGATATTATGCTTATTACCTAGGCGATGAAATAGTCTGTATACCGAACTCCTGTGAGACGCAATTTACCTGTATAACAAAGCTTTACATGTACCCCTGAACCTAAAATAAAAGTTTAAAAAAATTTTTTTAATTAAAAAACAAAAGAATATTCTTTCAGGCTGGATGCAGTGGTTCACACCTGTAATCCCCACACTTTGGGAGCCTGACGGGTGTGGATCACTTGAGTTGAGGAGTTTGAGACTGGCCTGGGCAGCATGGTGAAACCACATCTCAACAAAAAGTACAAAAATTAGCGAGGTGTAGTAGTGCATGCCTCTAGTCCCAGCTACTTGGGAGGCTGAGGTAGGAGGCAGAGCCAGAGAGGTGGGGAGGCAGCAGTGAGCCGAGATCATGCCACTGCATTCCAGCCTGGACAACAGTGTGAGACCCTGTCTCAAAAATAATAAAAAGTAAATATTATTTCAACAGTGTTTAGGGAAATTGACAGAATGTAAAAATTAGATTGGTGATGGCAAATAAATTCGATTTAGCGTGCCAATTTTAATGAGTGAGCAGTGGTAAAGAAAAGAACTAGAAAAGAAGATTCCCTGATTGATTAGTTTGTCTAGCCTAGATTCAAGAAAGAAGGTGGTAAATTGTATCCTATGTACTTCCATTCCTGTAATAGACTGTGCGCATTTGCATACACTGTGGCAATGTTCATCCTGATTGCCTCTCTATTATGATGTGTGACTAACAGTGAACCCTTTGATTGCTAACATTAAAGTTCATTAATTTCATTTTTAGGCCTCAGTATGGTGGCAAATTCTGTCCAGGTTCTGGCCGTATTTATCAGCTGTGCAACATTAACCCTTGTAATGAAAATAGCTTGGATTTTCGGGCTCAACAGTGCGCAGAATATAACAGCAAACCTTTCCGTGGATGGTTCTACCAGTGGAAACCCTATACAAAAGTGGAAGGTAATGTGGTCTCTATGACATTCAAATAAGTCTCTATGTGGATAATAATGTGATTGAACAATACAGAAGAAATTGTTGCCCGTATCAAAGAGTTTCCATGTTTACCTTTCATTCCCCAGACCCATCCTGGCCCAGTGTTTCATTCCATGGGTTTTGTTTATTTTTCCACTATATATATTTTTTCCCATAAGATACCTCCTGTCTGCTACATCTGTAAACCCAAGGTTTCATATGTTTGGAATGTACTTATGTTTCTCAACTTACCTTTGACATTTTGGCAATTAAGTCTCCCAGGGATCTTAATTGAAATGGGTATGAAGTGTCCAGACCAAAAACTCATGAAACCATATATACCCCACAGAGGCACCATACACAGTAACTGACATGTCAGTTAATTACAAGCATGGGAAGGCCTGTTTGTAAAGTGTGTGCATGCATGCAGACACACACACAGAATCATAAATAAAAATTATACTAGGTTCTTGGTACTTACTATACTGAAAGTTATTATGGCTTGTATTTTACTTTTTAAATTAATATGTCTTTATTTTGACTGAATAATAAAACATCAGTTATAGCAGAACAGTTTAATGTAGTTGCTTTTACCTATGTAGAATAAGCTGTCATCATTCTAGTTGTTTCATTACTTCTATCCATTCGATTTATCAAAACGTATTCATGCTGTCTTGAAACAGGATTGTATGCGAATCCCAACTGCCCATGTGTAGACTGAAAAGAGACTAAGTTTAATGACAGTTCATGGGCTGTTCTGTGCAAAAGCTCGACATGAACCTATATTAATCAGTGATCATAAAGGAAGCTTATATAATTACAGGCATCATTATAACAACTAGAGCCTCCAAATCAAAAGTGAGGATTGTGCAGCTTTGCTCAGTATCAGCCCAGCCATTTCAGGAGCACTGATGTGGTTTTGGGTCATGACTGTTTGTCCATAAAGCATAGATAGAGACAGACATGACAGTTCCAAAGCTGTGTCTTAGGATGAAGTAATGAGGGACGTATAGAGGTTTACTGAGAAACGAGTTACATTCAAAACTTCAAAGAGCTATTGAATAGGAAGGATGTTCGATTTATTTCAAATTGCTTTAGAGAACAGAATTAATTCAAGGGCTGAGAACAATCTAGCCATATTATCTCCTCAGAGACACCTTCCTTGACAGCCTGTCAAAATATTCTTCCTTCATGTTGTTCTCTGAACGCTTTACCCCGTTTTATTCTTCATAGCTCTTCTCAGTGCATGAATGTATTTTTATCTAGTCATTTATTTGTTATCTTCCTCCCCACAAGAATTTAGGTTCCACAAGGACTAAGGCTTTTTCTATCTTGAGCTTGCTTGTATCTCCAGCATCTAAGAACAGCACTTGGTATATATTTATGTAATGGTTTTAACTTTTGAAATGAATGAATAAGTAACTGAATATTAACTGTCCAAAATGAAAATATACTCCCTCTGTAAGTAATAAGCTCCCCATCACTAGAGGCATTCTACCAGGAACTGAGTGATTTCAAAGGAAGGATGCTATACAGCAGGTCCCAGCAGATGCTGCAGTTGCTTCCAATTCCAAACTTGGAAGATTTCCTTTCTCTTGATTGTATACTCTTGCGAACCCATGCTTCCTGTCTGTGGTTCTTTCTCCATGACTCTGTTGTCCCTCCTTTTACTTCCTCTTTTATTCTTTGCTTTGGCTTCATGGATATTCCTTGGCCTTTATCACATTACGTCTTTCATTTAAATATAGTGTTTATGCAATCGGTCCTGTTATCACCCTTAAATAAATTCTGTGTTGAAGATATAAGGAGGAAGTTAAACAAATACATTTTGCAATTTAGAAAATGTTTGCTGGTTTCAAAGTTCTTTCACTAATTTTATTGCAGTTTTCACTGAGTAGGGAGCATGCGATTTCATTCATGCATGCGACAGATGTTTACTGAGCTCTTTTTGTGTTGGAGACACTTTGCTAGATGCATAGGAGAATGCATTGAATCAAACATAGACTCCCAGCCTTAGGATCTTACCTCTCAATGGAGGGAGACAGAAACGTTAAGGCCTTCTAGTCTCTCCTTGTCTCCTTTTGATACTTACATCAGGGGAGACTGACCATGACTTTAAGGTCTTGCGATATTCCTGCAGTTAAGAAAGAACAAAGGAAGACTTTGTTTATGAATGTGGCCAATCTCTATGCTACAGGAGTGAAGTTTTTTCCCTTCTTTCCTCTGTGTTTCTAATGGACTCATAAACTCACCCAGGAATCTGTGTTAAAGGGAAAAAAAAAAAAAGGGAACTTTCTAAAACTTGTTAATTCCTGGAAATGATAGAGAAAAGAAAGGGTATATAGGTCATCCAACTCCCTAATCTCATGTGCAGAAACTAGGAGGCATTAAATAAAGCTGCTATTTAAAAAAAAAAATAGATGAGAGAGAAACTTTCAACCCACCCACATATCTGCATATTTGAACTGTGATAATTTAAATCCTTTCATGTTTGAGTTTTGACTTTGTCTTTTATTGAGAGGTTTTATGAAGCACTATTTGCCAACTGTTGACACATTTGTAAAACTGCTGTTAGGGGTTATCGCTCAATATCGCCCACAGAAGGTCTCTTGGGAGAAACATCATCTGGAATTCCTGGCCAAGAAGAGCTCTTTCTATTTGAGAAATTGGCATAGGAACTCCTTTCTGATAACAAGAGCTCTATAAATGTATATATATATATTTTATTTTTGCCTCTGATATCAGAAACGTCTCAGGGATTTGAGGGCCAATAGAAGTTACCATTTTGTAGCTTTCGGGATGAGTTTATTTGCTTTCTCTTCATTTTTATGACATGGTTTTTTTTTTTTTCTATATATGTTTTACAAACATGACTAACCATATGACTTTTCTCCCTGGTGCCTAAAACCTTTTCTCTTAACAGACTGAGTAAATATCTAAAGTAATCCATGCCCTAAATCAAGGTCATCAAACTATGGCCTGCTGGCCAAATCTGGTGTGTATTTGTTTCATCGGGTTTTATTAGAACACAACAACACTACTTCATTTCTATGTTGTCAATGGCTGACCATCAGGCCTTTGAAACCTGAAAGATTTACTATCCAGGGAGGCTGGATAGTAACCCATTGATCATTTGTATGGTGACTATCCCTAAGGATGAGAAAAATAAAATTGTTACATATTACTCTTAAATTCGTTTTATATGGATTGTTAAATGGGACTCATGCTTTGAAAGTCACATAATATGGGCCTATATGTGCATACACACATGCACATATGCATATAACACTGTGCATAACATTTTCCATTTTCATCATGACAGCTTTCTCAGTAAATTTAATTCATCCTTTTGGCAATCGTATCATTTTTCCTTAGTTTCCTCTTGACCATTTCCTATCTTGATCTCTTTGCTTCTAGAGGAAGATCGATGCAAACTGTACTGCAAGGCTGAGAACTTTGAATTTTTTTTTGCAATGTCCGGCAAAGTGAAAGATGGAACTCCCTGCTCCCCAAACAAAAATGATGTTTGTATTGACGGGGTTTGTGAAGTAAGAGAATGTTTCTGCTTTGGAGTATATGAGCATGCTTGTGTTTCATCATATCATAGGTGTACTGTGAAGAGTGGTGTGAGAGTTGGTGTGTCTGCAGAAAAGCAGGTGGCATAGAGGGAAAGGGCAAAGTGTTTCACTGGATTTGAGCACCATGTCCTTTTTTTTTTTGAGACGAAATTTCACTCTCGTTGCCCAGGCTGGAGTGCAATGGTGCGATCTCGGCTCACTGCAACCTCTGCCTCCTGGGTTCAAGTGATTCTCCTGCCTCAGCCACCCTAGTAACTGTGATTACAGGTGCGTGCCACCATGCCCGGCTGATTTTGTGTTTTTAGTAGAGACGGGATTTCACCATGTTGGCCAGACTGGTCTTGAACTCCTGACTTCAGGTGATCCACCCACCTCGGCCTCCCAAAGTGCTGGGATTATAGGCGTGAGCTGCCACGCCTGGCCGAGCACCATATGTACATTCCTCATTTACTTGTTGCATGAGCCTTGTCCAATTATTTTAGTTTATTTTTCACTGTGCTTGCACATATATAGAAGGAGACGGTGCTATATCCTACTTTGCATAGGAGTTGTAAAAATGAAATAAGAATGTAAATAATAAACTTAGGCCAGGCGCAGTGGCTCATGCCTGTAATCCCAGCACTTTGGGAGGCTGAGACGGGTGGATCACGGAGTCAGGAGATTGAGACCATCCTGGCTAACACGGTGAAACTCTGTCTCTACTAAAAATAGAAAAAAAATTAGCCGGACGTGGTTGAGGGCACCTATAGTCCCAGCTACTCGGGAGGCTGAGGCAGAAGAATGGCGTGAACCTGGGAGGCGGAGCTTGCAGTGAGCCGAGATGGCTCCAGTGCACTCCAGCCTGGGGGACAGAGCAAGATTCCACCTCAAAAAAATAAATGTAAATAATAAACTTCTATTGCATGTGTACTAAGTACCTTTACTACACGATGAGAACTTCACAAATGTATTTTGAAATACTACTACTATTTGTCCCCAGTTATTTTTCCTTTCACTTTGATTGCTCATTTTCTTTTCCATTTTAATTTTAGTTTGAGCCCTTTGATCTTTTAAGGGTGTGTGTTTGTACACATGCATGCATGTCTATTGCCAGCATTTTTATGTTGGAGTCACACAGCTGGCCTGAATAATCTCAGCTGATACTAGTAGCAATGGTGACTTCTTATTCCAGTTTCATCAGTGAAGAGCCTAAGCCTTAGATAAGTTATATAACTTGCCCAGTCATCTAATAATGTCAGGGTAGGAATTTCAACCCCAAGTGAGTCCAACTTGAAGCTATGATTCTTAACCATAAGCTCTACTGCTTCTCTAATGTTCTGTAAATGCAGAGAACCACGTATCTCTTAATTATTCCCAGTTTCTGGCTTCTCCGATCTTTGATTTTCTCATGTTTTTTGTTTTTGTCACAGCTAGTGGGATGTGACCATGAACTAGGCTCTAAAGCAGTTTCAGATGCATGTGGTGTTTGCAAAGGTGATAATTCAACTTGCAAGTTTTATAAAGGCCTGTACCTCAACCAGCATAAAGCAAATGGTGAGAGATGCTGCTGTTTGTTATTGCTAATGAGATACAACTTTTGCTACTGAACAAATTTGAGTCACGCCAAATGTGATTGAGCCTTTTACTAGTTCACTGGACACACCTAGTGATGGTGGCATTTGTCACTTGTGCAAGAGTAAGGGAGGATAGTTGTGAGGAATTTCGTCAATTCGTTACCTCGCAGAAACATACTAAATAAATGCCTTTCTGCTTTGCGTTTTTAGTATGCCGACCAGGCCCCTTGTATGTCCAAGTGCATTTGTTAAGCAAAGAAACATTGTGAAACTTTGGTGAACTCTATTCACAGTGTTAAATGAATATTTGAAGCAATTTTCTAAATATCTTGAGTAAAATTAAACTTTTGATCCCTGTTTTCTGAATTTCATCATTGAAGATACATGGCTCCAAGTTTCTTCTAGAAAGTTTTTTTTTTTTTTTTTTTTGAGACAGAGTCTCGCTGTGTTACCCAGGCTGAAGTACAGTGGTGTAATATCAGCTCACTGCAGCCTCTGCCTCCCAGGTTCAAGAAACTCTCCTGCCTCACCCTCCTGAGTAGCTGGGATTGTAGGCACCTGCTACCATGTCCAGCTAATTTTTGCATTTTTAGTAGAGATGGGGTTTCATCACACTGGCCAAACTGGCCTCAAACTCCTGACCTCAGGTGATCCGCCCACTTTGGTCTTAGGAAGATTTTTTTAAAATCTTCCTGAATTTTGTGGCCTTTTTTGGTCTGGGAAGGAGAAGAGTGTATTTCTTGTCCACAGAAAATATGCTTGGAAGGCTTTGGGAAGCCACATACATTTTCTTTCTAGTGTTCTTACTATTTGGAAAATGAAATCATTGATCATGTTTGCTTCATAGAGTAAAAATGAATTTAGCTAGTGATTCAAAAACCTCACTCTATAAAAATGAACACTACATGTCAGGGGCCATTTCTAGTCCCCTTTCAACAGTGCAGAGGGTAGAATTCAGACGTGTTCTCTTCTTTCCATTTAGAATATTATCCGGTGGTCATCATTCCAGCTGGTGCCCGAAGCATCGAAATCCAGGAGCTGCAGGTTTCCTCCAGTTACCTCGCAGTTCGAAGCCTCAGTCAAAAGTATTACCTCACCGGGGGCTGGAGCATAGACTGGCCTGGGGAGTTCCCCTTCGCTGGGACCACGTTTGAATACCAGCGCTCCTTCAACCTCCCAGAACGTCTGTACGCACCAGGGCCCACAAATGAGACGCTGGTCTTTGAGGTAAGCCCCTTCTGTGTATTCAGTTCTCAGTGCTTCTTGCTACGTTTATAGCGATGACTGCAATTTGAGCCAGATTAAAGAACTCCAATCCTTCTAGTTCAAAGGTGTTTCCTGGCCGGGCACAGTGGCTCATGCCTATAATCCCAGCACTTTGGGAGGCTGAGGTCAGGAGTTCGAGGGCAGCCTGGCCAACATGGTGAAAACCTGTCTGTATTAGAAATACAAAAATTAGCCAGGTGTGGTGGCACGTGCCTGTAATCCCAGCTGTTAGTCAGGGCTGAGGCAGGAGAATTGCTGGAACCTAGGAGGTGGAAGTTGCCATGAGCCAAGATCATGCCACTACACTCCAGCCTGGGCAACAGAGCAAGACTCCATTTCAAAACAACAACAAGAAAAGTGTTTCCTAATAGGCTAAATTACAAAGTAATGGGGAGAAGACAGTGATTCCATTTGGAGGAAGAGGACAGGAACCCAAAGGGCCTCTAAGAGGATGGGTAGATTTTCATATTTAGAGGCCAACCTTTCACCAATATGCTTGGGTTTCAAGAATGCCAAAGAATGTAGCAAGAATACTTTTTATATTATTCTGGTTTGTCTATGTATGCCATTTGGATGCTCCATTGTAGCTATTCATAACATAGGTCAACTGGACTAGGAGAAGGGATTAAGAGTAGAGAAAATGCTTGCTTGGGTGTCAGCAGAGTTTTGTCATACTGAACTATCATGATTTTGTAGGTTGTAGCTTCCCCATAGATAAGAAAAGGAAAAAAAGTGTAATAAAAATGATAATTAAAAGAACCAACATATCTGGAAATGACTCTGCAAGGCTGTTATCATAGAAACATTTTTTTTAGTCCTCATCATGTTTCTGAGTGCTTTTTCTCTGTTTGTAAAATGGGGCTGACTGTTGTCTCTTACAGGCAAGTGATTTGCTTTAGGTTGTCTAGAAATGATACTGAGCACTTACATATCCAGGTACTCTGATGTGTCATTTTAAGCTTCAGTTTCTTACCTGTGAAATCGAGGTGGAAAATGGACTTCACTAACCAGAAGAATAAGGAATCAAGTGTGAAAAAAGATTAAAAGACTTGCCTATCTCATACAGCCAGGAAAAAAACAGAGCTGAAGTGGAGTCAAAATATTTTCCACCTAGGAGTATGAGATCTATGTAACACTCAGATTACTGTTCTCTTCTCAAATAAACATAAGATCAAGATCAATGCAACTGTTATTATTATCATTATTATGATGACTATAATAGAGTAGGTTCAGGCATTCTGTGATCAGTTTCATGCATTCATTTCTTGAATGCCCACAACAACCTTAGGAATGTAGGTATTGTTACTTAATCCCCATTGTACAGATGAGAAAACCGAGCCTTAAAGAGATTGTGTTACATGTAAGTGGTAGGACTGAGGTTTGAACATAAATCTTTCTGACTCACTTGCCCACACCATTATCCTAATATATCACCAATACTGGCAAGGCTCAGCTACTTGTCATTATATGGTTTTTCTCAATGTGAAATGGTTGAACTCTGTGGGAGGTACAAAGCCTACTAGAGGTGGGGGATAGAGAGTTTGCTATTTGGAAACATCTGTCATCCAGATTTGAATTCATAAAACACTGAGAACATATCCGTGTATTTTGACCGACACTGACCTAGATCTGTGGCAACTAGAGGGTTGATCTGAAAAGTGACTATTAGGAAGATTGTGTTCATAAAGTTGTCTGATGATTTTTACTTGAAATAATTTATTTTCCTCTATCTTACATATGTTAATTCACGGAAGACTATTGGTACTTACTGCGTTCTTGGTGCTGAGGAAAGGGACATAGTGCTTGTTTTCTGGGCTGACAGCATGCTGTGTCCTCAATCATCTCGGGGTATTTTGGTCAGATAAGTGATTAATAAGGCAGTTTTTCAGAGGCAGCTACTTCTTTTGTCTAAACTGAAGCACTCAATTTATTATCTTTCTCAGTTCCATGCACAGTGGGACTGGATAATTCTTTGAACAAATACCATGTACCATGATATTGGTAATGACCTTCTGCAGCTCACAGTGGTTTATGGGGAAAGCAGTAGAAATGAATTTCTCTTACCCAGTGTGTGGGAGTTTGTATTCTGTGTGTTGAGTTATGGTAGGTGAAATCAGATGACATCTTGGTTTCCCTAATGGATTCTTAGATTTGCTAGAACTTCAGAAAGCAGAATAGTGAAAATGTCCATACATTAAGAAATCAACCGAGGCAGGTGGATCACTTGAGGCCAGGAGTTTGAGACCAGCTGGGATAACGTGGCAGAACCCCCATCTCTACTAAAAATACAAAAATTAGCTGGGTGTAGTGGTGCACGCCTGTAATCCCAGCTAGTCAGGAGGTGGAGGCAGGAGAATTGCTTGAACCTGGGAGCCACAGGTTGCAGTGAGCCGAGATGGCACCACTGCACTCCAGCCCGGGCAACAGAGTGAGTGAGACTCCGTCTCAAACAAAAGAAATCACTGCGTTCCTCTGTGTCACATGCACTGAGCTGCTCTTGTGTTTCACATTGACAGTAAACTGGGTGTATAGTAGTAGATAAACAGAAAAGAAAATCCTCCTGCTGTAATGAAACTTAGAGTGTTGGAGGGTACAGTACAGCATTACACAAATGAATATATAAACAAAGGCAGATGTATAGATTGTGGTAGGTTCTTTGAGAGAAAATAAAGTATAAGAAAAAAAAAAAAGAGGGAGACTGTTTGAATTAGAGAGTTGGTGAGGAATTATCTGAGAATTACCATGTGAGGTGAAACTTGAAGGATGAGAAGAACCAGCCAGGTAAAGAGTAGAGGAAATTCAGGCAGAGGAAGCAACAATTTAAAACCCCAGATGGGTATGGTGGCTCATCCCTGTAATCTCAGCACTTTGGGATGCTGAGGTGGGTGGATTACTTGAGTCCAGGATTATGAGATCAGACCGGCCAACATGGTGAAACGCTGTTTCTACTAAAAATACAAAAATTAGCCAGGCGTGGTGGTGCATGCCTGTAGTCCCAGCTACTTGGGAGGATGAGGCAGGAGAATCATTTGAGCCTGGGAGGCAGAGGTTGCAATAAGCCGAGATCGCACTACTGCGCTCCAGCCTGGGTGGTAGAGCGAGACTGTCTCCGAATAAATAAAACCTCATGTGGAGAATCAACTTAATATTTTAGAAGAACTAAAAAATAGGCGAATCTAACTATAGCATAGTGAGGAAAGAAAGTATTGAGGTGTGAGACGGGTATAGTGGGGGCGGCGGTGGCCCACAGCTAATATAAGCCATGGTAAGGAGTTTGGATTTCATCCCAATAACAACATCAGGATTTCAAGAAAGAGAGTGGTTTACACCATCCTGGCCAACATGGTGAAACCTCGTCTCTACTAAAAAATACAAAAATTAGCCGGGCATGTGGCGCATGCCTGTAGTCCCTGCTACTCGGGAGGCTGAGGCGGGAGAACCACTTGAACCAGGAGGCAGAGTTAGCAGTGAGCCCAGATCGCGCTACTGCACTCCAGTCTGGCATCAGAGCAAGACTCCGTCTCAAAAAAAAAAAAAATTCAACCAGGCTGCTATGTAAATAAGTGATTAAGAGGCAAGAAGCAAACTGGGGAAATAGGAAAATGGTTCTAGAATTCCACGTAAGGAGTGACAGACACTGAAACAGGTGGTGACTGTGAAGGTGGCAGGATGTGGATCTGTTTGCAGTGTATTATAGTAGAGAATTGGAAGCTAGAAAAGTTACTAGAGATGTATAAGAAATGAACTCTGAGAGAGAAAGATGTGGGAGAGTCTCAGGTTTTTTCCCCAAGCATTTGGAGGATGGTTTTACCACTATCATTGTCTTGAGGATGACTGGAAACAGGTTTAGGGATAAGGGAAAATTCCATTTTAGCCGCCATATATTTGCAATGTATCTTAGATATTCAAGAGTAGCTATCAAGTAGGCAATTGAGTATGTGTTTAATGCATGAAAAAAAGCCTTGGAATGAATATGCAAATCAGTTCCTAAAAATACCTAAAAGAGTATAGCAGTATATCATTTGTTAACTGAGCAGGGCACTTGGATCCAACTTTTCTCTGATAAGCTGCCTCTTGGGAGAAGCCAAATAATTGCAATATCCAGAATGTGCCTTGTGAAGAAATATTGAGCCTTGGTTGACACCACCAATAAAGAGGAGCACGCACCTGGCATGGAGAGGCGTGCTGGTGCTGGAAACAGGATCTTCACAGATGTGAGGGCATTTGTATGTAGATGCAAATCTCTCATCTAGTCTTGTATGTGTGCCCTGCACTTGCACACCCACAGACATGAGAGTGGAGATGCCCTCATTCATGGCAACAGGGATGGCATCCTAGCTGTTCTTCCTGCTGTTGCTCCAATCGTGTATGTTTCTATCCAGATCTTAAGGTATTTTAGATCTTTCTGAATCTCATACACAAGAGCTACGCAAATTCAGTTTACAGTAGGCTTTGCTACTTTATTCCCTTGATGATATTTGAGACCCTCTGTGGAGGCAACCAGAGAAACCCACTAAGTGCCAGTTTCACAGTTTTAAGACCACGCAATCTATTATTCAGATTTCAAAAGCATAGCATTTTCCATAACATCAAAGGACTATTAGTAGATGATAGAGAAATATTTTTTTTTAGGCCGTGGTGGTAGAAAATGAAGGGTTAGTCTCCAAGAGTAGTGATTAAGTAGTACTAGCCTTAAATATTTACTAAGGAAGAAGAGTAGCAGACAATTAAAAATAAAACACACAACCTCAGATTCTAAGATGTTCTACACACAGAATGGCTGAGAGTACAGACTCTTAACTAGCTATATAACTTGGGCAAGTTTCTTAATCTCTGTGTCACTTAATGTCTGTATTTGTAAAATGGGCAAACAATACCAGCTAATTATTAGGGCCATTATAAGGATAACCGAAGATAAGTTCAATGCCTACAAAGTACTTAGCCCATAATGTTTATTACTA